GGTTGCTTTCTCGAGTAGTATCTTTGTGATATTCTCTCTGTTTCCTGAATTTGAATGTTGCCTGTCTTGCTAGGTTGGGGAAGTTCTCCTGGATAATATCCTGAAGAGGGTTTTCCATCTTGCTTCCCTTCTCCCCATCACTTTCAGGTACACCAATCAAACATAGGTTTGGTCTTTTCACATAGTCCCATATTACTTGGAGGCATTGTTCATTCCTTTTCATTCTTTTTGCTCTAATCCTATCTTCACACTTTATTTCATTAAGTTGATCTTCAATCTCTGATATCCTTTCTTCTGCTTGATTGATTTGGCTATTTATACTTGTGTATGCTTCACGTACTGTGTTTTTCAGCTCCATCAAGTTATTTATCTTCTTCTCTATACTGGTTATTCTAGTTAGTGTTCCTTTAACCTTTTTTCAAGGTTCTTAGCTTCTTTGCATTGGGTTACAACATATTCCTTTATTTTAGCTCAAAGGAGTTTGTTATTACCCGCCTTGTGAAGCCTACTTCTGTCAATTTGCCAAACTCATTCTCCACTCAGTTTTGTTCCACTGCTGGTGAGGAGTTGTGATCATTTGGAGGAGAAGAGGCTTTCTGGTTTTTGGAATTTTCATAGTTTTGCGCTGGTTTTTCCTCATGTTCGTGGATTTATCTACCACTGGTCTTTGATGTTGCTGACCTTCGGATGGGGTTTTTGTGTGAATGTCCTTTTCGTTGATGTTGATGTTATTCCTTTCTGTTTGTTAGTTTTCCTTTTAACAGTCAAGTCCCTCTGCTGCAGGTCTGCTGGAGTTTGCTGGGGGGGTCCACTCCAGACCCTGTTGCCTGGGTATCACTAGTGGAGGCTGCAGAACAGCAAAGATTGCTGCCGGTTCCTTCCTTGGAAGCTTTGTCCCAGAGAGACAGCTGCCAGATGCCAGTTGGAGCTCTCCTGTACAAGGTGTCTGTCAACCCATGCGGGCTAGTGTCTCCCAGTCAAGAGGTACGTGGGTCAAGGATTCACTTGAGGAGGCAGTCTGTCCCTTAGTGGAGCTCAAGCGCTGTGCTGGGAGATCCACTTCTCTCTTCAGAGTCAGCAGGCAGGAACGTTTAACTCTGCTGAAACTGCGCCCACAGCCGCCCCTTCCCCCAGGTGCTCTGTCCCAGGGAGATGGGAGTTTTATGGGACTTACTTTGGAGCTATTACCCCTTTTTTGTTTCCTAATTCTTCCTTTCAGAATGGGTATATTTACCTTGTGCTGATCCCACCATTGTATTCTGGAAACATATAACTTGTTTGATTTCATAAACTCACAGTTGGAGAAGAATCTGCCTCAGAATGAATCATACCTTGACTCTCACCCATATATGATTCAGGCGACTTTGTGTTTTTTTTTTTTTTTTTTTTTTTTTTTTTGAGACGGAGTCTTGCTCTGTAACCCGGGCTGGAGTGCAGTGGCCCAATCTCAACTCACTGCAACCTCTCCCTCCTGGATTCAAGCGATTCTCAGTATCTCTAGTAGCAGGGATTACAGGCACGTGCCACCAAGCACAGC